TCTTGTAGGCGCTATGCTTTTCAAGCCGACTGCTGCTGACCGCAGTGTGTTTGACGCAATGCGTGAAGTATTCATGCAGTCTTGCAGGCGCTATGCGTTTCATGCCGACCGCCGCGCCGCGCCGCTCCGTTTCAGGTCGAATTGCGTATTTTGTTTCTCTCTTAACTCTACTAATTAAAGGTGTTGTCTCTAGTATCACCGAAAAACGACAAAAGTAGAAATTACTATACTTTTACTCTCAGGAAATGAGAGATTTTGTCGCCTTTTCTCGTGTGTAATTTATTCTCTGAATCCGATTTTTTTCTCTTTATTCGATACATTCAAAAATATTACTAAATTTGCCGCCATGGGCCGCGGCCCATGTGGCCACTCCCTTAATCCGGCCCTGCACACCGTAGTTCAGCCATGTTATTAGCATGCGCAAAGAGTCAATTCTTGGATATTTGGCGAGTATTGTTTGCCGAATACACAAACTGTATCAGTGATTGGAATGTGTGTTTCACCGAACTAAAATTCTGCAACATACTTGCTAAACTGAGGTTTTATAAAGCTATGAAAGCTGATTAACTATATGTTTAAAATCTCGATTTTGGAATATTCCATGAACTTATACCCCGAGTATTCTAGGATCGGCATTTTATGACTATTGGCAATCGAATTTTATCAGAGTTTTCTGTTCAATCTGCGAATATAACGCTCAAAATGTTTAAGGATTTGCCTTTGCCTTTCTTATGAACTAAGCGTAAATGCAGTTGCATGGCTGGTATATTCTATCTACATCACAACAATTCGAATCAAAAGTTTTTGCGTTCTAACACTTAGACTGATGTAACTAGAATTAGCCGAAGTGCATTTCTTGTTGCCTAAGCTGTTTTTTCCACACAAAAAACTGTCGAACATAATGTCGTTTAATAAAACTCTCTGTGAGTTATCTTTGGAGTTCTAATATTAGACCTAAAAAGTTTTAAATAAAATGTTGCTTAGTTTTTTGTAAAAAATAGTAAAACATTGAAGGCAATTAGGCAACGCGTGATTCACTGAGGCTAATTCTATAATGCTGTCCATTCTCAAGATAACTAACAAAAGCTAGGAGAGCCATCGCTTCACACCGCAAATCGTGGATCTTCTATTCAGCATGCTACATGTACACATTTGTGGACAACTATTACTGCTCTTGAGTGCCCGATATTGCCTACCTTCTTAATTGAAGGCGAATCTCTGTAGCAGCTTGGCGAGAAGCAGTGCATGTATTCGTCTCTCGTATATTATGTCTATTTGTGAATGCAACTATTGCAGCTCTTAAGCACCCAATATTGCCTACCTTGTCAATTGAAGGCAAATCTCCGTGGCGGTTCCTCTGAAAATATCTTCATGAGCGAGTAATCCACGTCTTACCGGTGGCGCGGCCTAACATGCAATAGAAGATTGACTTGGAAGGCTCGTGCTAGGTGCGAGAGAGAGCTTCAAAACACCTGCGCATTTAATGTATTTATCTACTTTTGACGGTTTAAACTTAAATGCATGTTTCTGTCCACAAAAAGAATGGCGTTCATCTCGTAAAAACGAAAAACGGGAAATATGTTTTGAGCTGTTTTTGTCAATGCTCCTCGTGCCGACTTATTTTAAAGATGTTGTGCTGTCTAGCTGCAGCATTATTTGCTGTGAAGAGAACAAGCGTAAGGTTTCAGTGGCTTTACAGAACTCTCTGTCCGGAGGAATGAAATATGCTCGAGGCCAGCGCAACTCATTCATTAAGGTAACCGCTTTTCTCAAATACACCAATTTTTCAAATCTTGATTTTGTACTGTTCCCTCAAAAATTTTAAAAGATATCCGAAACTTCCCAGAATCCATCCTCCCCCCCCCCTCTCAGGCCCTTCTTGTACTTCGGAAATTTTGTGCGCTGTTTTAACAAGAAAACCTCTTTTTCACGACTCAATTAGGTACACACTGTAACTTTCGGCGTTCGCCGTTTTTTATTTTAAGAGAGGGTGCAGGCTGCGGCCCTGTTACTCCAGAGTGTGGGGTCGCTTTCAGGTTTATAATTTGCCGCACTGAGGCCCAGGGTGTCACTTTACCATGATTGTTTTTTCACGAAGTTTTTTTTTGCTAGAACGTGTTGGGCGCACTGTGGAGTCGGAATGAGGGGGGGGGGTCGTCGTGGGAAGCTCCACACGTGCTCCGCTTTGAGTGCTGTGTCTTTCGTCCCCGCATCACACTGGCCATTATCAACTCCACTCGGTTGGACCTTCTATCTCTATTTCCATTGCTCCCAACCGTTCCGCATTCACTACCCTCCACATTCGCATTCATTATGCATTTTACTGCAAATGCAAAATTTTAAAAATCCGACCTTCCGTGGTTAAAAGGATTTTCGCCCACAGAGGTAATATTTTCTGGAGACCGATTTTCGGCAAGTTGGGTCGGATTTTGCCGGAAGCGTCTCTGATATCCTGAAGAATTGAGTTGCGATATCATTTTTGTCTGTTCGTTGCTCCATATCAATCAAACTATTCGATTTGCCAAACCAAACTTTCGCGCAAGACCGAACGTTCAATTTGTTTGATCGAAATTTCGCGGTTCAATCGAAGAGTTTTATATAAAGAACTGGACGCTTGATCTGACAAATTGAAATGGTTCGACTAATTGAAAGCTCGATCTGGTTAACCGAACAGTTCGATCAATATGGAAACCGATTCATTCAGCCAAACTTCTTTTTTCAGTGTGAAACTGCATTGTGATCCGGAAATGTTGTACGTGCAAAATTTACAAGGCGACAAGTTCGCCTTTTACAAGGTACCTTGTAAGAGGAAATTTACATTTTTAACTGGTTTCTCACAACCTCATCTTGTGCATTACAGTAAGTTGCAAACCAACGTCTACTCATAACTCCAGTCCAGCTCGACGTATTCATGAGGCGTTCTGTGTCCCAAAATGTTCGCCAAATGGTCCTTGATAGATGTTTTTCTATCGTTCACCAAATGTTCAGTTCAGCTCTTGTGAACTGGGGTCTCTCTTCTCGTGGAATATTGCAACGTGTCTCGTCAATACTTTTCTAAAATGTATTTTTACATCAACAGTGAAACTAGAATAAAAATTGATTTTGATTGTGGCGAAAATTGTTCCCCATTTTTCGTTAACTGAAAGGAATATTTTTGCACGAAATTTTCGTATAACATGATTGATAGGTGGAAAAATAATCTCTCGAATTTTTGTTCAATAATATTGATCAGCTATCCTTCAAAAAAAATAAAAGATAAAAAAATAAAATACGTCGAGACCGAATTCGAGAGTTTCATAATCGATCCGTCCCAAGGGAAATGCAGAGCAAGAGAGAGAGAGAAAACTGCTCAACTCATCACTGCTTTTAAGAGTTTGTTCCTCCATCCTGTCTCCTCTGCCTCAGTGCCTCTCCGGCATTACATTTTTTATTTTTGCAGGAGTTACCGCAGCCCCCTCCCCCCCCCCCCCCCCGACATAGTCCGGAAAGTGGAGCCGCGAGTGGTGAAACGGCGGGAAAGAGGCAGGTCAACCAGACGAGACCTCCGCTTTTCCGCCACCACTCCAGCAAATGAAGCGAACAAATAGAGATCCGTGAAAACGAGAATAAAAAAATAAATAAAGAGACGGAAAAAGGAAACGCCAAATTACAAAACTTCCATCGGGAAAGCGGGCCGAAAAAATATACGACCTGGAGGGAGAGGTAAGTTTTAATCATGTCAGGGTTAATATCTGTCTGGCACTTACCGGTTGGTTATGCATCTCTCCGTCCCCCCCCCCTTCCCCCCTCGGAAAGTGTAAAGGGAGCAGGAGCAGGAAAAAGCAGAATCTGAACCAGGAAAGCTAATAATTTGTCGTTTTCTTTGTATTGGAATTTCTTTCTCTTCCTGTTTTAATTCTCCGTCTCCTTCTTTCTCTTCTTTATTCTTTCCTTCTTCTATTCCTTATTCCTTTCCACTCTTTTTTCTTATGCTCCATCCTGATCCTTTCCTCTCCACCCGAATTTCTTTCTCCTACTCCATTTCTTCCACCTTTTTCATTACTCTGTTCATTTTCCCTCCATTCTCTATTCTTATCTCCTTCCCCTGCTCCTTCTCTTAAGTTCCTATCTTTTCCCCTTCTTTCCTGCCTCATTACTCTTATTATCTTCTTTCAAATTTCTCTTTTCCTCATTCTCTTCTCTGCTTTTTCCGCTGATCTTTCTTCTGCTTCGACTCCTTCTCCCTCTATTCGCTTTTATACTCTATTTTCCATGCTCGTTCTCTTAATCTTTTCCCTCATTTTTCATTCTACCTCTTTCTTCCTTCCCTTCCTCCTTCTTTTTCTCATTTCCTTCCGTATCCTCCTTTCTCCCCCTTTCCTTATCCTCCTTTCTCTCCCCCTTCCTTTCCATACTCTCTCTCTTTCTTCCTTCCCATACTCTCTCTCTTTCTTCCTTTCCATACTCTATCTCTTTCTTCCTTTCCATACTCTCTCTCTTTCTTCCTTTCTATACTCTCTCTCTCTCTCTCCCTTTCCATACTCTCTCTCGTCTCCTCTTCGTTTTTGTTCTTTTTTCCATCCTCTTTCTCCTCTGTTTCTCCAACCTATTCCGTTCTTTTTTCCTATCTTCTCTCTGAGTGTAATGCTTCTCCTTCGTAATTTTCCTATTTTTCCTCTTTCTCCTCTCGTGTTTTCTTCTGCTTCATACCTTTTCCCCGGGAAAATGCAATTTCATGTCGAATAGGGGGTGCTTGAGCCCCCCTCCGCAGCTCTCACGGCTACGTCACTCGAGGGGCGCCGGGAGTGCAGATGAAAATGATGAAGCGCGGAGTCAAGTGAAAAGGAAAATCAATAGCCGATCGACTCGGGAGGCTTCGGCCGGGTCCGGCGAGGGGGCGTGGCCGGCGGCCGTGGTTGGTCGGGACCCCGGGTCACGTGGGCGCGCATGACAGGGGCGCTCCTCCGGGGAGGGGGAACCGGCGCTGCGTCGCGCTCCCTGCCCCGACCATTCAGAAAACATGTTATCCGGACGCACTCCGCTCCTCTGAGTTTTTCTCTTTTTCCCCCGGTTTTTTTCGCGTGTTGCCCCGGTTTTTTCTCTCCGTCTCTCCGGCCCCCCTCGCCTCGCGTCTTGGGGTTTTTTGCCCGGGCAGCGCCGCAAATGCGTGAAGGAGGAGAGCTCCGACCCTGCCAAGACGCGATCAATCGGCTGCAGGGACAGGGACAGGGGTGCTCTTTGCTCCACTCGGCAACCTTATTTAATACGGTTTTCTCTTAAGCATAAGCTGCTCCTGTAACAGGCTTAAGTCTTGTTTTATCTCGACGAGTATTAAGGCTTACGCGAGTGTTAGTGCGTGCGAGGGAGACGGCCTCTTCCGTGCTCGGCGGTGCGAGGGAGACGCGCGCCGCCTAATCCGCCATGTGTGCCACTGCCTCCGTTCCAGTGTTAATATCAACAATGCAAACTCATTGAAAAGTGTCGCTATGTGCCTTTTAAGAATTTTACGCGTACTAATCAGTGAATCCTTTTTATCTGCCTGATTCCCATCCGGACGTCCGACACCACTAAACTCAAAACCAGGTGAGTCGCCGACAGCCGATGCCCTTGGCCTTTGCCTCTCCACCTCTTGTACATCACTCCGTGATTAGCTCTTTAAGTGGCTTAAGTCACCCGCTCCGTTTTATGCTTACGATGTGCGAAAGCTCAATCCGTCATCGATTCCCACTCACTATTCACGCTTGGCAAATTGTGTGATAACTTTAAGGGACTCATTTTTTCCATCTCTTTCCTGTTTCCAGCATATAAATTAGCGTATTGTAACGGAATAATGACTGACCCAACGACAATTTACTGTTCGGCGATACTTCAATTTTAATTTTCTACCATAAGGTACCCTCTAAGAAAACGCATTTACCTTATGAGCACAGTTGTCATCGTGATTCCCCTCGGTCCTTGGTATCGATCTTCGTAGAGTTCAAACTAAGCGTTGTATGAAAAAAAATCTTAAATAACATATCTAGATGGCAAACAAAGGCGTGAATCCTTTTCGCACTCTTAACACCACGGTATATGACGTTGCAAAGAACCAACTAATGAAATACGTTAAAATCCATTGGCGATTAGATTTTGGCGGCTCATTTCAGTAATTGTTTGAGTTTGCGTTTAAATAATCCGATACTGCATGCAGCTCACATTTTTTCTGGCCCATAGTTTGCCTTTGTAGGGAGGTATTGGAGGTATAATTCCATTTGATCCCCGCCCTCTTTACTCAATACCTTATTTTGTAAACCTGCACCTCGACCAGGATACTTAATCTCACCGTCAAGGGGGGCTCTTGAGCGCGTTAGTAATTGAACTGAAATTGCATTGGATTTACTCTTCGCACATCGAGACAGATCTCGTATCCATCAAAACCTTGAAACTATACCATTATTCAATTTTATATCATGCTCAATGGTACCTTACCGATTTTACAAAGGTTTACATGAGCCTCATGGTTAATTTTAATGGAATTCAGAGCCGAGTCTCTTTCAGCACTCACTCAATTTTTCGATTTAGCTAATGTACCTAAATTCAAATCATTGCCTTGTAATCGTCACCCATCCTTAGCAAACACATGCACTTTTTCACTAACTTTTTGAGATGAACATTTGCCTTTCCCTGTGATATTGCGTTCAGGAATATCAGAGCTGTTATATTCATCTTCGGCAAAACTACTTGATTTCATCGATGACTATCCCCTTCAGCAGTTTACAAACAGCGAATTTAGATTTGAGTTTCTAAATTTAGGGAAAAAAGGAAATTGTATATCCAATCCTCAAACATCTCCAGACCACCTCCCACTCTACGCATCTGTAAAAAAAGAGTACATGAACTTAGCTAAATGAAGATACGCAAACTCATGCGATAGCCCGAAAAGTTGAACGAGGTAAAGTTTGAAGTATTAATATGAATAACACAGGCGCATTAATGACAATGTGTAAATTATACTATTTAAATAAATCCTTATTTTTACTTACATCTGTTTTCCCAATTGCGTTTGCAGTTTTAGAATTAGTCAGTAACATGAATGGGTGGTGAATCGAGTGTTAAAACCATAGTCTCGTTGTTTCTAAAGGATTATTATTCAACCTAAATCGATACTTAATCGAACAATAATGATCGATAGATAACACTGTAAGATACACATGTATAGACTTTGGGCACATTCGAGAGAAGAATCACATCGCAAGAAACAATAGAGTTCAATAATCGATTTAGTGGAGACTTAAACGCTCGTATAGAAAAAAGTGCGACATACATTTGGTTATCCACAGAGAAAAGGAATTTAGTGCGTCAAACTGAGAATTGAGGCACTGTTTCCCCTCTTAAGAGGAGTTTTCACCACAGTTATTGCCAGACGTATTTTTGCCACGTGGATTTGCCACATGTATTGCCAGCAAATTCCAAATGAAACTGGAGTATATTAAGTTTGCAGTTTGTGTTATATATCACAGTTTTGAAAGTAATTCCTTAGTGTTCCGAGGATTACTCGGCGTCGTCGTTGGCGGATAATACTGCCGTGCCGGGGAGGAACGCCGTAAGTACATTTGAGAGTTCCCAAATTTCCTTTGTTAAAATGTTTATTTCTGAGAAAATTTATGAATATTTTTCCTTGAAATTTTCTGGAACTTTAGGCGAAATTACGAACAAACTTATTTGAAAAATTGGAAGAGGAATATTCAGAAGTTTACAAAGAAAATTGTGAAGTTTTTGTGTTATCAGAGGAAATTTGGCAACGTCTGAGGGTCTATACGGCGTTTTTACTTAGCAAGGCAGAATATTAGCCCTAGATTTGCACCAATATAAATTAAATTGCTCGAAAGCCATTCTTTGAAATACCTTTGAAGAGTATTTATAAAAAATACGGTTCTTGATGCTGTGATCAACTTGATAAAAATGCCATTCAAGAGAGATTCCTGTAGAAAACATTGATTTTAGGACATTTCTTTTTTCTGGAAAAGCCGGAAAACTACCGAAAATCACGTTTTTACGCAATCAATAGCCTAATATTCGTCGGAACGGAAAATTAATTTTTCGGAAAGTGGGAGCCAAGAAAATTTCTGACAAATTTGAAACCAACAAGTTTTACATTAGGACTTAAATTTAAGCCACCAGCGCCCGCGAAAGTTTGAAATGGCCCGAAAATCACGTTTTCTCGCGCTTTTCCAGCCGTGACCCCCTTAATTGACCTTTAATAGAAAAAGTTGGAAGGAATAAAGTTGTAGATAATCAAATTTTGAGAAATCTTCAACAAGCCATTTTCCGATATGACCCAAATTACCCAAGTTTATTAGGTATACGCCAAGATCCTCCTAGTTAATATGCAGTTTGTGAGCAGGAATTAGGCAACATTGGAATGGAGTTGCGTTCTTTCGTGAGGAAAACGGCAATATGCGGAAATATAGAATATCATATTTTGAACAGTTTAGTAGTGAACTTTCGAAGCTCCAACGTGAACTGTAATGAACAACGCCATGGTGAATAAAAATAAAACGAGCCGTCTCAGTCGGTCCCGCGCAAGAGAGCAGCGCGCCGGGCTCCATAAATTATGCACAACCAAAGGCGTACAGTCGCGGCAGCCTCAAAACTCGGGGAAACTCGTATCATCTACTCCATCCTCTACGGCGCACAGTAAATCGATTCAATAGGGGAGATCGGACAAAACTTGGAAAATTCAAACGTTTATAACTCCAGTGCTGCCATTTTATTTTATCAAAAGATTCCGAAATAATTCCGATTGCCGGAAACATATTCCCATATGTCAAAGTTCCGAGAAAAATTCCGAGAGACGCCCGGGTTTAGTTCCAAAGATCGTCAATTTGATCAAAAAGTCCCTAAATTTGATCAAATAAATGGTCAAACTGGCGAAAAACTGCAAATTTCGAGGAAACTCCGAAAATAGCTAAGGATCCCGGGGATTCAGAAGATTCCGGAAAAAGTTCCAATTATTCGAAAAGTTCCGATTTTCGGAATTAATCCCGGGAGATGGCAGCACTGCATGACTCCGTTACGGATCAAAACTTTGAGGTTTCAAAAGTGGTTCCATTGGTTTCCTCGTGATATTTACATGCAGAGGAACCTATTGAATTTAAAATAGGACAAATTAAACATCAAAATTTACAGTTTTAGTAAAAAAAAAACTCACGTCCGACCTCTCTGCTTAACTCGGTCCACTGTGCGGTGGCGAGCCGAGCGTCGAGCGTCAAGACCAGGTGTCTCGCGCCTCGCGCCTCGCGCCTAAATCCACGATTTACTGGTTTCCTCGTGCGGCAAAGCTCAGGTCACTCTCCTGAAAAATCATTGGAAAATCTTAATAAATCGGCGATAAATTATTTTCGAATCGCGGCCGAGCGCAAGTCGGCTACCGCGCAACGCGCTTATTCAGGGGATATCTTCCTGTGTTGCCACTTTTTGATCCTCCAATTCAGGTCGATTTTACAGCGAGGGTGCAGCTCAAATCGGAGTAGGTACCTATGGATCGATTGGATCGTATTTGATAGTGGTTCGTTGTATCGTTTGGTTCAAAACAGTAGAACATAGGTAACCTCAAACCAAAATTTTAGGATATTTGTCAGAAAAGCTCAAAATGAGAAACTTCGTAGTAATCTCACTTCACTTAGCCAATTAGTACTTATAAAAATGAAAAATCCATCACAAAAAACCCGTTCCGTCAGATTACTCAATTGACTTTTGAAGATATTTTTATGTTTTGAACCAATCGATATCGATACAACCTCACCCGTTTGATGTATCGAATACGATCTATTAATATGTTCAAGTAAACAAACCTGAACGTCAGGAATTTTTACTTTTGAAAACGGAAGAATGAACAGTACCCACCGGAAAATAATTATTCCGGGCCAAAATATCCGTCAAATTTTGTTAAAAGATCATTTGGACTTTAACTTGCAATCGGGAACTACAATTTCTGGCTCATCCGTAAGATCGCACGTTATTTTATCTTAACTAAGCCTAAACTAATTTTAGTTCCGAATTGCAAAATGTAGTCCACTTCAGAGGTTGGAAATTACATGGTAAAAACTGTGTCGCCATCTTGTTGATTTTTTTGAGCACTGAGTGATCCATAAATGCCTGAACCTCCCTGATCAGTCAGAAAATTGTACACCTCTTCTATCGTAAAGGGATTGACATGGCAAAACTCTCTTGAAATTGATACTTCTCCTCAAAATCAGCCAATATAGCCTTTTATATTTTATCTGATGTTATTATGTTTAACTGCTTCGTCTACCAGAAATGTGACATTCGTCTTCAGAAAATATCCCCTTTTTCAAATAAAAAACATGTTAAACTTGTATAGCAGGTAGTCATTTTGATCCCAGCACAATAAAAAAGTTGAATTTAATGTTTTGCTTATGGTCGTCTTGACTCAGCTTTTCTAAAAATAAACATAAGCTAGGAGTAAAAAAAGAGAGGACCTGCTTTGATTAAAGCGTGTAATGAAGGAGGAAGATAAGTTACAGTCAAGTGACCTGAGGGAATCAAATTCACAGTCTTAAGATCATTTCAATAAGTAATAG